TTTCTCAATACTGGCACATGCTCAAACTCTTCCTTTTCAAACTACTTTTGATAACGTAAAGTGGTAATTTTTGTTTTTAAGATACGTAGCCCAGTTATTTGCCTCTCTCCTTTTTGTCATTAGCTCAAGCCATTGTTTGAATAGAGTGAGGAGTTTGTGTTCTGACCTCCACTGACACCGCTTTGGAGCCAATTATTAGAGTTGTTGAAGCCACCATTGCCCACTTGCCTTTTTAAATCTCCCTCTGCCCGCTCTGAAGAAATACCAGATGCTGTATGACATCTTTCCACGGCAGAACCACAATGTTGCGGAACTGCTGAAACCGTGTGCCTGAGGTCCCGTTTCACTGCTTGCCCAGCTCTGTGCCAGTCACAAGGACACTTTCTAATCTGCAGTCCCTTTTCAATGAGCGAGAGCATTGATTCAAAAGCAATCGATGATTGCTGCAGTTGCTGAGAAGGAACAATCAAATGTGGTTCGATGATGTTTAAGGCCTGTTGTCACATGTTGGTACCACTATGTTTACTTTCCCTGTCAAATCACAACCACATGAATCATGTAATTGATTTCTCCCTTGCAGCCTTTTGGGTTCAATGTTTCCGTTACCAAGAATCGTGTTTGCTATGGCACGGGATGGTCTACTATTCAGATTTCTGTCTGGAGTGAGTGAGAGAAAAGCCCCAATAGTTTCCACAATTGCAGCTGGGGTTCTTTCTGGTAAGCTGTCCATTATAAGCTGTAAGGCGTGGGCTGAAGTGTGCTTCTGTACCTGTTGAGCCTCTAACCTTGCACCCTGGTTGCACATCTAACTTTTATGTAAGCACCAGCTAAATAACTTTAAAAATACAACTTCTCAGGAGTTGCATACATTACATATTTACATTTTTCCCAGTTCCATCCAGGAGTTTCTTGCGACAAGGTAGTATCCTTTAGCAAAGAGGCAGAACAAGATTGTGCTGTGGATGATCATACAAGTATTGTTAACATTTCTCTCGTTATTAATTGGAACACTTTGAATTTCTAAGTTGGTCACTGCACTGCCAGTAGCTGGTGGTAGAATTGTTCTGACTGGCACTGGATCTGCACTGAAACTATGACAGGCTCAAGGCTGCGTTTACTTACCAGTAATCTATTTTGCAGGCCAGTGCATTGTGTCCATCTGAAAACAGATTTACTTTAGAAAAAGGCAGTAATTTTTCGTAAATGACAAATGTTCTCCCTGTTTTACATGTGTTAATGCAGGTTGCCTATCAGAACATTGTGGCATTTTTGTGTTGCTGCAAAGGAGTCTGCTCAAGCTTTGTTGTATTTCATGTTGAGGCAGGTAGCTTTTAGGTTTCTTAGTGACACGTAGCAGATAGGGAGCAAGTGGAAAAGTGGTGTGGATCCCCCTGATCACATCAAACGGAGAAAAGGCTTGATAGTCTTCACTTGTTCCTGTTCCTGTTTCTTATATTCTACCCAGCTAAGAAGTGCTTGTGAATGCACCGCAGTTTTTCAGGTGTTGCATTTATTGATACTTTTGTTTCAAAAATCAGGATTTACCTGTCATTTTGGAAAATTGCACTGCATTCATTAGATTTCTAGAACCAAAATTGCAACAGCCTCAGGTGGATGCTAACTAGCTGAGGGCACTGATCAGTGAAGAGCAGAGAACTCTCACGGTAGCCTAGTAAGTATTCCTCCTTTAATCCACTTCATAAACAGAGTTATTTCTCATGTCACTGCTTACGGGATGCCGCTAATGTAGAATGACTGCTTTGGTTGCCTAAAATAGTTGTGTGACGCTTTGGGGTATTCCGGTGAAGTAAAACACTGCATACGTGTGAGTATTTATTTCTTGTTGCTAACTTTTTAATGCTGTTGAATTCCTCCGAAAAGAATTGCTGTGGCATCATTGAAGAAGCAGCTGAGGATAGCTGGGCCTAAAGCACTGCCTGTGAAACTCGAGTTGTGCTCTAGGCCCAACCACCTTTGTCTACTTCATCCATGACCACCATTCCATCCTAAGGGCAGAAGTGGGAATGCATGCTGGTGATTACACAATGTTCAACACTGTTCATAACTCCTCAGGTACTGAAGCAGTCCATGTCCAAATGCAGCAAGACCTGCACACCATCCAGCTCTCTAATGAGATGCGAGTAACATGCAGTGTCAGGCAATGACCATTTCCAATTAAGAGATACTATAATTCCTTATATCCCTATAAATTTAATTTTGGCAATCCAAGCATTTTTTTTGTTCCATAATGTAACCCGAGTCCTTATTTCCTAACAAAATCTATGTAAAAGGCTGGATGTGGCTGTATGTTTAAGCTTCAGTCAGCTGCTACTTGTCCTACTGGTATTGTTCTAGTTACACTCGGGTTGAAATGAGCTAGCAGCTGGCTAACTCACCAGTGGGAAAGCTATGTTGTAGTGAAATGTGCACTGATTTTTTTTTCTTAGTGCTTGTGTTTTTAAAAACTGCTTGTTCTGTAGAAACTCACAATTACATTGCTCTGTTACTGCAGCAATCATGGCGTTCTTGTTTGACCTCAAGGACCTTGTAGATCTGATGTCAATTGGAACCCTTCTTGCCTACTCTTTGGTGGCTGCTTGTGTTTTGGTGCTCAGGTAATTATGTCTGTTTCTTCAGGGGCCAATGATGTTGTCACCTCTCACATTCACTTTCATTTCCTTATCAACCCTTTAAATCTTCTCCTGGCTTATCTGTCTTTGAAGCTGCAGTTCAGGTTAGGCTGTGAAGCTGTGGGTAATTAAACCCTCAGGTATTTTCCACTTGTTGTTCTTGTGCAACACCAGACAGTGAGCTTTTGCATGGTATTCAGTTTCTGGGGCTAAAGGGAGATGATAATGTTGCAGACTTTAATTCTAACTTTCCCTGATGTTCAGATTTGCGCACTCTGAAGTGGCCGCAACAGATGGGAGCAGGAGCCCCTGCCTTTATTTTTAAATCTTCCTTTTATGTAGGAGCCTTGAGATAATTGCACTGCCTTCTCTATTCCTTGACTGAGTAAACTTGATTTGGCACATCAACTTCAATACCTTCCTGGTTTTAATAACTCAGTGCAATTGGCCAGGGCATTTCCTAGTAAGTTGTTGGAGAAACCAGATGTAAAGTTTTTCACTTCACACCCTGCTAGTCCATTTTAAAATGAAAACAAGACTGTGTTGTGTTTAGTTACTGCATTATCCAGATTTCTGGAATGATTCAAATGACTCATTTCTCTTTGCAGATACCAACCTGACCAGTTTTCTAATGCAACATATCAAATGGCCAACACAACTGATGCTGATATGAATGAATCAGTCAGTACTAGTGACTCCCAAGTAGGCGTTTTACCAGAGAGTGAGGAATTTTCATTGAACACTTTGTTATTCCCTGAAAGTAGTCTCCCTTCCAAACAATCAGGATTTATTGTTAATACGTGTGTGTGTTTAATTGGTAAGTTACCATCTTTTAAGTTGTTTCCTATTGATTTTAGACTTAAAACTTCTCTTAACCAAAGTTAATTTTATTTTAATAAACCAAAAAACTGTGGATGTTGGGTCTGAAACCAAAACAGAAATTGCTGGTGAAACTCATGTCTGGCAGCATCTGTGGAGAGAAAGCAGAATTGATGTTCTGAGTTTTTCAGAACTGGATTCTGTTACACTAATTTTATTTCCTTGATTCGATAGCAGCAACATTGCTTGTGAAGTAACAAATAGTGACACTGAGAAATCATGGGCAGGCAGGATTGCTCCAAGCAGACTATTTATTTTCCCTTGTGCAAAGCGTTCTATCTGAGTAAGTTGGACGAGATCTGTTCTTTTTCTATTTACATCACAAAGGAGCTAAGCACTGAGTCAGGTCTGCCTTCCAGACATTATCTGCAGTATGGACTGTTCAGCTGGTAACTCTCGAAGTATTGGCAGTTATCAATTCCACTGGATACTATTTTGTCTGCACTTCAATAATAATTCCTGCAAACGGCATATGCATTGTTTCTGAAAGTAAACTCACCGTCATGGAATGCCTGCAGGAGCATTGAGAACATGACATTTTTCCAGGTGTTGGTTCTCCCTAAACTACAAATCAATTAAAATTCTAGATTTCACCCACAGGGCCCATTCTGATCCCAGATAGTGTGCTCATGTAATGTGGTTTGTAATTAAGATGCAATGCAAACTTGTTCCACTTTCTGCATGACCTCTAAAATATCTCAAAAATCTCAAACAGCCATTGTTCAATAAGAAACTGGGGCAGAAATAATAGCCACCTGCTCAAATGCGGATTAACTGGGAAAGATGGCACAGATTTGTTAAAGACAAATTGTGTTTAACTCACTTGATGGTTGAGTTTTTATGAATACGTAACTGACAGTGTTGATGTGTATCTGAATTTCCAAAAATCGAGTGAGTGTGATAAACTTGGCGACAAAGTTTGATTCCATAGAGTAAACAGGGCAATGGCAGCATGGATACACATTGGCTGAGTAACAGGAAACCGCTGCTTTGTTCAGACTGGAGATCTCAAGATTCCCAGGAATCTTGGAACAACTGCTTTTCCTGACCTGTATTAATGGCATGGGTTTGGATGTTCAGGTTTCAAATTCAGAATTTGCAGATGATATAAAACTTGAAAGAATTGTGGACAGTGATAGACTCTCGAGACCATAGACCGGTTGATGGAAATGGGCAGACACAAAGCAGCAGAAATTTAGTGTAGAAAAGGATAAATTGTTACATTTTTAGTCAGGAGAACAAGGGGTGGCAATATAAAATAAAGTGTCTAAGAGCAGAGGGAATGGCATATTTGCGCACAAATCATTAAATATAACAGGACAGGTGAAGAAAGTGGTCCTTAGCTTTATAAGTAGAGGCATAGAGTGCTGTAGCAAAGTGGTTCTGGTGAACTTTGATACCTTGGTATTAGATGGACCAGTTAAAGGTGATTTAAGGTTTTGTGTATATAAATTGTTGAAGGCTAGCTTACAGCTATAAAAGGTAATTAAATAAATTGAAAAGGTGCTTGACTTCATTAGATGAGATATGAAGCATTAAAACAAGGAAGTGTAAGGTCATCCATGAAAATATTCCCTACATCTGATTTGCAGTACTATTTGGGTTTCTGTCCTGACCCCCAACTTGGGAAGAATTATTGGCTTTGTTGGAACTCAAGTGACAATTAACCAGGGTAACACGATGAAAAAAAAAATGATCAAAGAGTAGATTAAAATTAGGCTTATGGTTATCCAAAATGATGAGACTAAACAATAATTTGATCAAAGTGTTTGAAATAACAAAAAAAAGTTTAAATTAGATGAGTCCCAAGTCTTCCTCCTGCTCCTGTGAGGAAAAGGGAACATAATCTCAAAATTAGAGCTGCATATGATTGCAGGCATTTTTTCACACTACGTTGGAAAATGTGAAATGTACTTCTGTAGATAGCAGTAAATGCAAAATCAATGTTAATGAATTCACACTTTATGAATATAGGATAAAAACAGAGAATTGGTGCTGTGGCTAATGTAAAACCAAGGTTAAATAATGAAATAGTCTCCTGTCTTTATGGGTCTGAGTAAGAAAATACAGAACCAGCACAAAAGGCTTGAGCAAGCTCCACGTGGACAGTTTCGCTGATGTGATAGTGTCATATACAATGCTTTTTTTGTTGCAGGTGTTCTTATCCTAATCTTTTGTCTGCTGGCTGTCTATGCGAAAAATCCTTTACTCGAAGGGAAAGCCTGGTGTATTGGTTTAATTGTTGTTGTGATTCTTCTGTGTGCCACTTTAACTGGTATCATCTGGAGGCAGCCAGAAAGTAAAACAAAACTGTCATTTAAGGTAATTTCTTTTAATGTTTGCTTGACTGTTTTGATTTAAGTTAGACCTTTTTTTAACGATTGGGCAGAGTCAACATTGGAGGGTTTAGTTATAGGGAGAGCCTGGGTAGGCTGGGACTTTTTCACTGGAGTGTAGGAGCTTGTGGGGTGACCTTATAGAGGTTTTTAAAATTGAGGGGTACAGATAAGGTGAATGGAGGTATTGTTTCCCTAGGGTGGGGGGATTTCAAGACACGGGTGATATGTTTAAGGTGAGAGAAGAAAGATTTAAAAAGGACATGAGGCAATTTTTTTTTACGTAGAGTGGTTTGTGTGTGGAAAGGACTTCCCAAGGAAGTGGTGGATGCAGGTACAGTTACAATGTTTAAAAGACATTTTGAATAAGTACGTGAATAAGAGAGGTTTGGAGGGATATGGGCTGAGTGCAGGCAGGTGGGACTAGTTTTAGCTTGGGATTATGGTCGACATGGACTAGTTGGACTGAAGGGTATGTTTCCGTGCTGTATGACTCTGTGACTCTATAACGTGGATTAATATAAGGGAAATTATTTTTAATAAACTTCCTTGGGAGTTTTCTTTTGAGGACATACTAGCAGTGTAGCTGAGGGCCAAGCAATGGACGTATCCAATTTGGATTTTTAGAAGGCTTTCAATAAGATCCCACTCGAGAGATTAGTGAAGAAAATTAGAGCACATTGGATAAACGACAGTGTAAAGGTGTGGATTTAAAAAGAATAACAGTAAGAATAAGAGTATGTTCAAGACAGATTTATGGTTACTTAGGTTGCCAAGGGAATGACATGGGAAAATGGTTTTGGGTTGGATCTATCGTGGTGAAGCTTGGGTTTTCTGTGTTTCTCTAAGCTTCTGTCCTGATTTTTCAGGTACCTCTCTTGCCCTGTTTACCAATTGTCAGCATTCTTGTGAATATGTACCTCATGATGCAGTTGGATAGAGGCACTTGGATCCGCTTTTCTATCTGGATGGTGATGGGTGAGAAAGAAACTATTTGCATTTACAAATTGCCTTTCAGATGCTTAAATCCACTTGAAAGCACTTCACAGCCATTCAGTTTGTTTGAAGTGCGGTGACTGATATTTTGTATTTAAGTTGAGTGCACAAACATCCCATAAACTGCAGTGAGAACAAGAATTAGTTCATTTATTTTGGGGCATTTGTTCAAGAATGAATTTTATTGAGGACACCCCGTCTTCAGTTTTGATTATTGCAATTGTATCAAATATGTCCCCTTAACCACCACACAAATATACAAGTCAAGAGTAGGAGTAGGCCATTTGGCGCATTGAGCATTCTCTGCTATTCGGTAACATTGTGACTGATCTGATTGTAATCTCAAACCGTCATTCCTGTCTACCCCTAATAACACCCCCCACCCCTTACCAAAAATCTATCTGCCTCTGCCTCAAAAATATTCAAGAACCCTGCTTCTGCCACCTTTTTCAGAATGAGAGATCCAAAGGCTCTCGATCCACTCAGACAGCAACTTTTGCCCTCATCGCTATAGTAAATGATTGACCCTGATGGATCCCTTATTCTGAGGTCTTCCATAAATGGAAATGTCCTCTACACATCCACCCTGTCAACATCCCTTGTGATTTTATATGTTCCAATCAAGTTGCCTCTCGCTTGTCTAAACTTCCGACACCAGCCTAGTCTGCAGCATTCCCTCTAAACCGTCTGGCTGCTGGGAATTGTTTCGAAAGCCGCTGCTGCACATGGACCTCAGCGCTCCACGTGGCAGGAAGAAAAATTAAAGGGAATATTGTGAAGAAAAAAAGAGGAGTGTGCCCGAAGCTCAAAGGGGAATGTCGCCTTGGGACCTGATGGGAGAAAGGGACAAAGAGGGATGTGGAGTGGATGGAGGTAGTTGCTGTAAAGTGAACAGTTTTAAACTGGTCAACAACAGAATACTCCACTAACTTGAAGCCAGGAAAGCTTACAGTCTCTACTATAACACTGCGTCTGTTCAGATGCTTCTACATGAAGGATGGAGGGGAATGTCGTGGAGGCTAGTGCAATAAATGCTGTGGGAGTTGTTAAATATAAATCTGAGATTAGATTTAAAATCGGTAAAAAGGGTAGTAGCTGACTTAAAATTTTCCTGCTTTGTGTATATCTGCTGGATCTATGTTAGTCATGACGTCCCCTGTCTGAGAGAGATATTTTCTTTAACTCTTATATGGCATGTGGGCATTGCTGACAAGGCCAGCATTTGTTGTCCTTCGCTGTTGCCCTTGAATTGTCTGTCCACACCATTTCAGAGTGTAGTTTAGAGTTGTTTTATTTTTGTATAGAGGTGTCAGTTATTTTAAAAATGCCATTTGGTGCTAACTATGCCTGCTGTTTTGTGTTCATTTCAATTTTGTGGTTTCTAGGAAATTAATGCTTTCCTTCTTTGTTGTAACTTTAAGTTTCTGTAATCGTTGGTAATTATTGAGGTTATTGATGAACTCTTGAAGTTCCGCTTTAATACACGTTGACAGTACTGTTACAGAGTGACTGCATTGTCTAATAAATGAGTTAGTGATCATGATGAGGGGCAGTGGGAAAGTAGGTGACACAGGTTAATATGGAAGAAGTTGGAACAGAAACCTGGGAGTTCTGAATGGCCTTGACTTCAATGTAATTATCTGAATCCTCATAGTCCCACAAGAGAGCTTTCCTGCCTTTTGATCTATTCCTCATCCAGTCACTGCTGTGATAGGCCTGCGGAAAAGGAGAGCTATCCTTAGGTAAGCATAACCCCATGGGAGTAAGGAGGCTGTGAAAGGGGTTAAAACTCTTTGACGTTTGCTGCTTTATGCAGTTGCCATGACAACTGCCTACAGTTCCCACATTAACCTGGGTAACTACACTCTAACGCCCAAGTTTTACTATCTCTGGCTAGATTTCCTCGCTAGCAGTCTTGTAACTTCCTTTATTTTACTTATACTGTTCTGCCTCTGCCTACTTCTCATTGATTTTTTTTTTTTGACCACCAAAATTCAGGAATTAAAGAAAGGGCTAACTTTAAAGACATATTTCCCAGGACAGCTGGTGTTCAGATCTGCTGATACATTGTAAGAGAGGTTGTTTGGAAACTCTTCACATAATTAATTGCTGAATGAGATGCTGACATACGTCGCTCAATGCATGATTGATGTATGATTGATGTATGATTGACTCCCTTAAACAAAGTTCAGTGAAAAGTTATGTCCACAGCTGTTAAGTTGAGAGGGTGCGCATTATGTTGTTGCCTGTGGTGCCAACGAAGAAAATAGTCAGTGTGGTTACCTGATCTGCCCTTGCAGGGCATTGAATGTTTCATGGCACTTGTCTACGTTTCTTGTGTTGAGAGAGGACGCTTTTTATTCATTCACGGGATGTGCACATCGTTGACTGAGTCAGCATTTATTGCCCCATCCCTAATTGTCCAGAGGGCAGTTATGAGTCAACCACATTGCTGTAGGTCTGGAGTCACACGTAGGCCAGACCAGGTAAGGGTGGCAGTTCCTTCCCTGAAGGACATTAGTGAATCAGATGGGTTTTTTTGACAATTGGCATTTGATCCATAGTCATCATTAGACTCTTAATTCCAGATATTTATTGAATTCAAATTTCACCATCTGCCATGGTTGGATTCAAGCCCCAGTCCCCAGAACATTACCTGGGTCTCTAGGTTTACGGTCCAGTGGTAATACCACTAGGCCATCGCCTCCACCCAATATGATCAGACATTGAGGTTGTAGACTTGCTTGCCGAGCTGCTGTGTTTGGTTGCAGATGTTTTGTCACCCTGCTAGGTAACATCGTCAGTGCACCCCCGGTGAAGCGTTGGTGTTCTGTCCCGCTTGTTATTTATATGCCTCGGTTTGCTGGGGTGGTTGGCATTACTTCTGGTTCTGTTTTTCAGTGAACTGGTCCCGATGTGTTTGTTGATGGAATTCCAGTTGGAATGCCAGGCCTCCAGGAGTTCCCTGGCATGTCTCTGTTTTGCTTGTGCTATTATGGATGTGTTGTCCCAGTCGAATTTGTGTGCTTCTTTGTCCATGTGTATTGAGATCAGTGAGAATTGGTCATGTCTCTTGGTGGCTAGTTGGCGTTCGTGTATCCTTATCGTCTACCTAGCAGGGTGACAGAACATCTGTAATCAAACACACTGGCTCAGCAAGCAAGTCTACAACCTCGTCCACAACCTGAGCTACAAATCTTCTCAAACTTTATGACCAGATATTGCTATCCTTTCCATGTGCTGCCACCTGAGCTTTTTTTTTTATGTGAAGTTTTGTTTTCCCTGTGGTTTCACAGCAATGTTTTATTTCTTTATTTTGCTTCTTCCAAGAGCTGTCAGAAGATCATTGTCATTTTGTACTTTTTTGAGGCATTGATCTGTCTTTTGCTTTAGGAAACCTCTGTCAAGTCTTACATTTTAAATAGAGGCTTTAAAGTTGCCACAAAGCCTCATTTTTATTACCCAGTAGCCAGTTCAGTGTATTCCTAATGCACATTGCTTCTTCCTGGTGCTATTTGCCACAAGCATGCCCACCTTGAAGAAGTTATCCTCCTCCCTCCGGAAAGACCTCAGTGGATCTCTCTCCCAGTGCAACCCTCTGGTAATCTTTTCAGCCCTGAAACTGCTCGACCAATTCCCACCACTGCCTATCTGCACTCACCTATCACTATCCCACCTACCTTCCCCAGCCCTACCCCTCCTATCTCTATTTATTTCAGAGCTCCCTTCCCCCTCCCCCATTTCTGAAGTAGGGTCCCAACCCGAAACATCAACTTTCCTGCTCCTCTGATGCTGCCTGGCCTGCTGTGTTCCTCCAGCTCCACACTGTGTTATCTCTGACTCCAGCGTCGGCAGTTCTTACTATCTCTGCCCCTTCTTAACTTTTTAAATATTGTAGTCCTATTTTCTAAGTGCTCCTGTTCTTGGCCTGTAGACAGGTCAGTACTGATTGCCAGAGGAGAAATTCCAGTTGTAGGCCATAATGCTATATGTTAGATAATTCTATGACTAGAAAACTTCAAACCTCCTATTTTTAAAGTGTAATTGCACCATAGATCATGATTTCATTCATCATGGTAACACTTACAAGATACGGTTCTATTTCCACCATAGTCGTAGAATTAAACAGAATGTACAGAAAGATGCAGGTTGTTCTTCTTCACATGAACCTCTTCCCACTCTGTTTTGTCCCATCCTGTCAACGTGTAAATCTGTTCATGTGAGTGTAAGAAATAGAAGCTGGACAGATCATGAAGTCCATCAAACCTATGCAGCCACTCATTACAAGCATGCCTGTTCTTATGCTACAGCTGCACTTTTTCACCTTCACTCCCTGAGCATCTTAAATAGATCGCATGATGGAGCATCCACAACCGTCAGCGTATTCAGAACTCCAAACATTCACAATCCTTTGAGTGGAGAAATTGGTCCCCATCTCAGTCGTAAATGATTGTCCCTTTTTCTAAAGTCTCTAACCCTTTGGTCTAAGTTACCTGGGCATGGAAAACAACTTCTCAGTGTCTTTCGTATCAAGCCCCTTCATAAGTTTGTATGTTTCAATGAGATGAGATTACCTGTCATTCTTGTAAATATCAAATAATGTAGGCCTGATTTACTTAGCCTGTCATCATACTACAATCCTGTCAACTGCAAGGACCTATCCAGTAAGCCGAATGAAGGGAACTGAGAAAGAGGAGGTGATCATTTTGATGGGATTGTACTATAGGTCCCCCAGTAGTCAGTGGGAAATTGCTGAGCACATATGTAGGGAGATCGCAGACAGCTGTACGAATAATTGTAGTAATGGCAGGGTACTTTAACCTTCTAAACATAGACTGGGACTACCATAGTATTAAGCGTTTGGATGGGGAGGAATTTGTTAAACATGTTCAAGAAAACTTTCTCAATCAATACATAGATGCCTCTACTAGAGAAGGGGCAAAACTCAACCTCCTCTTGGGGAATAAGGCAGGGCAAGTAACTGAGGTATTAATGGGGGACACTTTGGAGCCAGTGACCATAATTCTGACTTTTAAAATAGTTATGGAAAAGGATAGGCCTGGTCCACAGGTTAAAGTTCTAAATTGGGGCAAGGCTAATTTTGATGTATTAGTCAGGAGCTTTCAAAAGTTGCTTGTGGGTAGGCTGTTCACGGGTAAAGGGACATCTGGCAAGTGGGAGGCTTGCAAAAGCGAGATAACGAGAGTTCAGGGATGGAATATTCCAATTAGTATAAAGGGAAAGGCTGGCAGGAATATTGAACACTGGATGACTAGAGGTATTGAGGCTCTGGTCAAGAAAAAGGACGAAGCTTACATTAGGTATAGACAATTAAAATCAAATGAATCCCTTGAGGAGTGTAGGGGATGCAGGAGTACACTTAAGAGGGAAATCAGGAGGGCAAAAAGAGGACATGTGATAGCTTTGGCAGATAAGATTAAGGAGAATCATTCGAGATTCTACATGTATATTAAGGGCATATGAGCAAATACAGAGAGAACAGGGCCCCTTCAAAGATCAACGAGGCCATCTATGTGTGGAACCATAGGACATGGAGGAGATCCTAAACAAATACTTAACATCAGTATTTACTGTGGAAAATGATGTGGAACTAGGGAGCTCGGGGAAATAGATAGTGATGTCGTGAAAATGGTCCACATTAGACAAGAGGAAGTGCCGGAGGTCTTAAAACGCATAAAGATAGATAAATCCCCAGGACCGGATCACGTTTATCCCAGGCCATTGTGGGAAGCTAGGAAAGAAATTGCAGGGTCCCTAGCAGAGGTATTTGTATCATTGACAGCCACAGATGAGGTGCTGGAAGATTAGAGGCTGGCTAATGTTGTGCCATATTTTAAAAAGGCTGCAAGGAAAAGCCAGGAATCTACCCTGGTGAGCCAGACGTCAGTGATGGGTAAGTTGTTGGAAGGGATACTGAGCGACAGGATCTATATGCATTTGGAAAGGTAAGGACAGATTAGGGATAGTCAGCACGGCTTTGTGTGTGGGGAATCGTGTCTTAATTAATTTTTTTGAACCTGTGACCAAGAAGATAGATGAAGACAGAGTGAAAGATGTTGCTTACGTGGACTTTAGCAAGGCCTTCTAAAAGGTTCTGCAATGGTAGATTAGTTAGTAAGGTTAGATCATATGAGATCCAGGGAGAGAGAGGCAGTTGGATACAAAATTGGCTTGGCAGTAAGAGATGGAAACCGGTGGTTAAAGAGTTGTTGTTCAGACTGGAGGCTTGTAACCAGTGGTGTGCTGCAAGGATCGGTGCTAGGTTCACTGTTTATATAAAGTGATAACCAACAATCTGGATGAGAATTAAGGAGGTATGGTTAGTAAGTTTGCAGATGACACCAAAATTGGTGGTATAGTGGACAGTGAAGAAGGTTATCTAAGAGTACAACAGGATCTTGATCAACTGGGCAAGTGGGTCAAGGAATGGCACATGACGTTTAATTTAGATAAATGCAAGGTAACCAGGGTAGGATTTACACAGTTGAGCCCCTGAGGAGTGTTGTTGAATAGAAGGAGTAGGGGTGCAGGTACATAGTTCTTTGAAAGTGATGTCACAGGTAGGCAGGTTGGTGAAAAAGGTTGGCTTGCCTGCCTTCATCGGTCAGAGCATTAAGTGCTAGAGTTGGGATATCACGTTACAACTGTACAAAATATTGGTAAGGTTACTTCTGGAGCACTGCATATAATTGTGATTGCCCTGCTATTAGGAAGGATGTTATTAAATTGGAAAGGGTGCAAAAAAGATTTGTAAGGATGTTACTGAGACTGGAGGGTTTGAGTTATAGGGAGAGGCTGGTTAGGCTGGCACTTTTGTTTTATCCCTGGAGTGTAGAAGGCTGAGAGGTGACCTATAAAAGTTTAGAAAATGATGATAAGGTGAATAGTCAAGGTCTTCACCCCAGGGTAGGGGAAGTACAAAACTAGAGGGCATAAGTTTAAGGTGAGAGGGGAAGGATTTAAAAGGGACTAGAGGGTCAAATTTTTCTGAGGGTGGTATGTATATGGAGCAAAGTGGCAGAGGTGAGTACAATAACATAATTTAAATGACATTTGAACAGGTACATGGATAGGCAAGGATATGGGCCAAACCTAGATAAATGGCAGTGGTTCATTTAGGAAACCTGGTCAGCAAGGACAAAACGGGCCTAAGGGTCTGTCTCCAAGCTGTATGACTGACTCTGACTCTAAATCTTTGTTCCACTGCCTGCAATGCAAGCCTGCTCTTCCTTAAATGTAGAGGTTAAAATTATACTCAGTATCCCAGCTTTTGTCATATCAAAGCCCTGGACTTTTGTAGTAAAGTTTATCTGATTTTTGTATTTCAAACCCCTTGCAATAAAGGCAAATGTGCCATTTGTTTTCATAATTGCTTTTGTACTTGCATACTGACATTGTGTTCCTTGTATGAGTAAACTGAAATCTCTGTAAACATTGACATTTACAAGTTTCTTCCTTTCTTAAAAAAGTTCTGTTTTTCCAAAGTGAAGAACATAACCTTTCCCAGGCTATTCTTTATCTGCCAACATGTTGCCAACTCATCTTAACCCCCTGTCAACAACTCTTTGCAGCCTCTATGTCCTTCCCATAGCTTACATTTCCACCCATCTTGTATCATTAGCAAACCTAGATATATTCATCCCTCTATCTCAATCATTAATACCATTTGTAAATAACTGTCCCTCAGGCACTTACCTAACTTTCCATTAAAAATGGAATTATTCGCTTCCCCCATTTGCTGTCCTGGCAATTCCTACACTTAGTAGAATTAAAACTCAAACAGCTGTAGAATACATAAATTATTTGAAGGAAGGCACTCCATGACTGTTCTAAATTCAACTTCTAATAACTAGCTACAAAATTGCAAGAATTGAAAAAATATGCAACAGAACATTGCCAGATAAAATTGGATCCAGTTGGCACAAAGCACAAAATATGTACTTAGCCATTCCAAGAAAAAATTCCTAATCCACTGGATGTCCTTGCAGGCACTGAAGATTTCCAGTTATTGGTAACTGGGGAAATTAATTTCAGATTAATAGATACCAAAATGGATTTTTGGAATAATACCCTCAGTGTAATTAATTGGCTCAGGCTGCAGCTTGAGGTAGCATTCCACCTTGAAAGGGAAATCTATCTGAATCAGTTCATCCAAAATTCTTTAATTTTCTAGTTGCAATTGCTGGTTAGAAAATAGCAAGTTTCTTGGGTTGGAAATCTATTATTTGACAGTCTAGTTAAATTTGTCATAGCGGTAGAGTCTTTTGAGATCTATTCCTTCATTTTCAAATCTGATTATTTTAAAGTAAGAATCCTTTGTTCCTTTTTCTTTCTGCCAGGATGCATTATTTACTTTGCTTATGGAATGTGGAACAGCTCGGAGTCTAACCCTTCCGGTTTTCCGGCTGACAGAACTGCAAGGGGTTTTAAGGACGCATCAAATGGTGAAGCGTTACCTCCAGAGAAGGAAGCTTTTCTGCAGAATGACACAGAGTATGTTGTAGAAAGTGGCAATGGCGAGGTTGATGTTTAAACCAATGGAGGGATCTATTTCTTGCAAATATGCAAGCAGTATGTATCTTGGAAATTTGAAAAAGAAACACCGCTGAATGAATGCTGTTTGCATTTCACAGGGAGTAAATCTTTTCTTCCCTCCCCACACGCACACCGGTGAGGGTTTTAATTAAGTTGTTTTGCTGACCATTTGTGTGCTTTAAAGGCCAACACTGCTGCTATGTGATTTCATTTTCTTGTTTTTTTTACGCCCTCCAAAACAATGGTAGCATTGATTACTCCAAAGGACTAGCTGATTCAAATAAAGTGCTTAATACAGATTCGGAGCTGGTCAGATTTAGGGTACTTATTGGTTTTTAACTATGAGAATTGCTGAAATCTTAAAAATGCTAATTTTCAGCTGCTGATCATGTATACAAAAAATGTGGTTGGATATATATTTTTTCAAAAATATTTTCCTGGTTGCGTGAGTGCTTATAAAGTAGCTTTTTCTAGCAAGTACAATAATATCTATTTTTATTTGGGCTTAAGAATCTGTGTACATTGCATTTCCTTACTTTAGTTACAGCTTGACAGTGCAGGCCACTGTGTCTCGAAGTGAACACTTTAATTTTCAATCCATTGCAGATTCAGTTGCAGATTATTTCCTTTGACTACCTTAAGACAAAATTTCCAAAACACTGTTTAAAATCTTTATCTTTTTATTGTCAAAGAAAGGAATCTATTAGTAATTTTAAAAAGAGTTCAGAAGCAGTTGTTTTGCTGATTTAGGCAGCAAATTAGCCCTCTGATTTAATTTATCAACTCAATGTTTAGTCTAATTCCTATAGTCCATATTCACTTTCTCTTACAGATAGGGAACGTTACACTCACTTGCCTTAATTTTTGCAGAAATGCATTTAATGTTGTTGCATTGACCTCATCAATGTTGTCCCCACAATGGATAATTATACAGATTACTTGTGGTAGTGAATCTTAATAACTTGAAAAAGGATGCAGTGTTTTGCCTTTGGCTTAAAGTGGCAAAGGAATCTAATCTCAAAACTACCACAAGAAAAAATTTCCCCTCCTAATGGATCTATTGAATAGATTTCAGCCAAAGCAGTCATGGTTAACACCTTTTAAAAATAGCTAGGTGAACATTGGGTTCAGCCATGAAAGATCAATTATATAAATTCTCAAATTGGAATAGCTTTTTAATAAGTATTCATAAAGCAATAAAAACCCGGAAGAGCTTTTCACAGGAAATAACATTAATTGGATAAAGTCCATGATATGGCCGTTGAATCTGTACAAGCTTTGTTAAGTAAAGTGGTCTTTTCTTGTTCCATGCTTTCTTTTGCACCTAGCACCCCAGTGACTGGCCGTAAATGAGCTTGAAGTGCTTAGATACTAAGATTGAAGAATGTAATTGTACAAGCTGCTGAAATTGAAATTCAATAGTTTCAACAGTAGAAGTGTACTTTTCTTGCCAACATATGTGTAGTGGATTTAGCACCTTTTTCAAAAGATGTTTGTGGAAGGAATTACAGAATCAACATCCAATGAATCATCCATGATATTAAGAAATACCAGTTAAGATTTTGATCACTGTTAATACAATGTAGGCCATTGTGTTAATGAATAAATAGATTAGCATCTATAATTAACGCAGTGTACACTTCTAATGATGTGAAGGACAGATGTCTCTCATTTTGAAAAAAAGTTGTTCTCAGTTTATTTAATGTTACTGGATTATAATCCATGTGTACGTTAATTTGCCCAGAGGTTTGTGCTTTAGAAACAATCATCACTAAAGCTACTGAGCGACAGTTTACACTATACGCTGCGTTATATTAATGTGAGTTGCAACAATTTCTGTTGATACTTTAGCAGAGCAAGTCTCTTTATTGCCTGCTGTAAAGCAAAAGCAGCAGGATTTGGTACTGATACTTTTGAAATTAATGTCCTCAAGATTACAGCATTAAAATCCATCTTCAGTTTTTGCAAAACCACTTACCAAAGGCCATACTGATCATTTAGCACAGTCAGTTGTTTTTGAGAAGTCAAGTTACACTCCCAATCATATTTAGAAAGGTGGAGTTTTTGGTAGTAAATCTGGAAAGAACTGCAATGTTTGAGGCCACTGGGGATTGCAAAACAACCAATTTTCTTTCTGTATCACATTGAACATTTTGATTACAATGAAATGAATCACCTTAAGCAATACTTTGAACTCCATCTGGTATCATGTCGATAACTATTATGATGCATCGTATTGTTGGAAAATGGGAACTCTAGGTATGTATTAATGACAGACATTAAAAGCCAACCCCATGACAGAGGGCAGTGAGCTGTCTGAGGAGAGCAGGTCATAGGGAATAGTTTAGATTGTTGTTGCATTGAACAATTGGAGACATTCTAGTCATATTTCATTGATTTAACTAAATTAAGTTTATGACCCACCAGTGGTAATTAATATTGTTGTAGTATAATCAGGAAGTAAGTAACACTATTCACTTTTTCAAGTCATGATATTAAAATATTTTTTTCAGAATTAAAGCCTAAAGCTGAATGTGACTGCACTACATGTGCCATACATCATTGGACCTGCTTTTTGATGCAGTGCAACCAACAGATTAGAGTTTACATGGTAATTCTCCGTAAGAATCTTGACAGTAACAGCTAGGGCACATCAGGCAAGGACATATTTGCCCAACTACTGTTTCAGATCTTTTTGTTTTTCATCAGAGAATAGCGCATTGCATCAGCCGGTCATAAATTAGCAAGCAGAATATTCACTCTGGCAAAAACCCTCCCAATATGAAAGCTCCACATATCAGCTTTTAGCTTGAGCTGAATTTCAAGACGTCAATTTTCAGTCAGCTAATAAATACTATAATAAAGATACTTAGAAATATGATTAACATATATGAAATATAAAGGATAACCATGGTTTTCATGTGGCTCAAAGTAGGTAATGCATATTACAGAAAGATGTGTATCTGTCCTGAAATATAAAATGTAGGAACAATGCAGCAGATCAGATTGTATCTAGGGAGAAAATGCATTAGGAGGGCTAATGATTGTTTGCTGCTAATTAGGAGTTTAACTAGCATATTAGAAAATCAAGGAAAGCAGCCCTGAGGTCTTCCGGCAGGCATGACTTCCGGTCAGTGAATACATGCAGAATTAGCCCCAGTGTTTCTATCCTAGTCTAATAAATATATACCAGAATGCTGAAGTGAGCTCTATGCCATTCATGCTGTGAAAATGCTGACGCTGGCTGTACTTGTAAATAAACTAATTTGTGCACATTTTAATGTAGATGCTTGCTTTTGTGGCGGGGTAACAGCATAGAGATTCTGATCCCTGTGCAATATGGTAGTTTGCAGATTAGTACCACTGTGAGGGTAATTATACAATTTGGGGGCACAGGATCGGTGAAATCACCCTTGATTGAAAATGATGGTTCTCAAATATATCAGACTCTGGTTATGGATTCTTATTCTAAAATGAAATAGCACGTAAACAAGATGTATCAAGTTAATGCGATGTCTTGGGTGACGTGTATTTGATGTTTATGCACAGTTCTGTCATTTTCTGACAGGCAAATCTCAGTGGATTTTCAGAATTACAATCTTTAATCAATACTTGCATCTCCTTATAAAACACAATGCCTACACGTGCACAAACAAACACAAGTGCCACCAGATTCAGGAAGGTTTGAAATACAATAAAATGAATGGCACCAATCTGTTACTTTTGTTTTATTCATTTTTCCTGTTTTAAATAATGGTCACTTTGACATATTGAAAGATATTCAGTTCAATTGGGATTGTAGGAAATACCACAAAGATTAAATAAGGAAAAAAAAATTGTTGTTCCTCTGTTCTGTGATGGTGATAAAAGAAAACTGAAGATGATACAGAAGTGTGGTTTAATAACACATGCTAATTTTTATTTGAATAGCTATGGGTGGAGTGCTTTGCATGGTGCTTAAGTCTGCATTCAGAGCAGAACAGATAGGTAATGTGCAATCGGCTACTGCTGTGCTATGCCTTCGGCCTTAAAAAAAAAATGAAAATTTGAGTAGCACAAAACATAATATGGTCAGACTTTTATAGTTATTTATTAGGAACCTGTTAAAATTAAGGAGACATCTCACTAGGTACAACCTAAGGGAAGTCTTGGTCTTACCATTTTCTTGTGTGCATATCATTGAAGTCGCTAAGAAAGTGGCTGTTGCTTATCAGTGAGAACACAATGTCTTCCTTCTGATAAGGTATCATAGCATTTTAATAAAGTATCTAAAAAGGTTCTCGCAGGCAGAACTCTAGGGAAATCCTGTCTTTGCCCACATATTAAAAACAGAATGGGCTGAAGTTGCAGACGTTGTGGAACTATGATTTGCCAAGAGGTTATCTCTAGGGGGCGTTTGTTCTCCCCCAGAATAGTTTAATCAAAGTAATTACTTGAATTGAAAAAGAGGTCCCTGTCCATTGATAAGACTTCGAGGGCCAATTTATACATTAGATATTTGTTCAATTCCCAGGCATGGCAGGGGGAGGTGGGAGGACATGGATATTAGTGCGGAGTCTCTATCCCTTTCTCATTTCTTGGTTGGTGTGGGATATAGAAATGTTTTTTTAAAAAAAAAAGGAGCAGCAGTAGGCCATTTGGTCCTTCAAACCTGCTCCACCCTTTAAAATGATCATGGCTGATGATCCTATTCAGTACCCTGTTCCTGCTTTTGCCCCATATCCTTTGATCCGTTTAGTCCTAAGAACTATATCTAACTTATTCCTGAAACCATTCAATGTTTTGGCCTCAACCACCTACTGTGGCAGAGAATTCCACTGGCCCATCACTCCCTGGGTGAAGGAATTTTTCCTTATCTCAGTCCTAAAGGGCCTATCCCATATACTTAGACTGTGACCTCTAATTCTGGACTCCCTGCTCATTAGAAACATCCTTCCTTCATTTACCCAGCCTCGACCTGTTAGAATTTTATACTTTTCTAAGCGATTCCCCCTCATTCTTCTAAACTCCAGTGAATATACCCCTAACTGATCCAGTCTGTCCTCGTGTCAGGCCTGCCATCAGGGGTCTTAGTTTGGTAAACCTTCATTTCATTCCATTTCATCCATAGCTAGAACATCCTACCTCAAATGAGAAAAGCTGCACACACTACTCCAGATGTGGTCTCACCAAGGCCCAGTACAGGTACAATTGTATATGTCTGGCGGAAGTTGGTAAGCCCATGCAAGTGAAGTCATGACCTATCTATCCTCCCTTATTTACCTGGGCATCTATTTTAAAAAGATGCAAATGGAATGGTAACTACTGACAACGAGCCTTACTTTGTGCATCCAGCTTGCACAAACTTGAAGTAGGAGCTTGTCTCCTAACCTACTTCCAGAGTAAGCTCTTTCGGAATGGTGAATCTACATTAGTGGTTCATTTAGGCCTACTTAAGTGATCTGACCTCAAAGATGCAGGCAGTATTCTGGGATTAGAGGTCTGTGGCATCATGAGAGATCAAGCATGTTGGGCTTATACTTGCTGGAGTTTGGAAGACTAAAGGAGCTTGACAGGGTGGATGCTGTTTCCTGTCATGGGAATCCAAAACAATGGGGCAAGGTTCCAAAATAAGGGGCATCCCATTTAAGCAGGAGATAAGGAAACTCTTCCCTAAATGCATTATTAGTCTTTGGAATGCCTTTTCCAGTAAGCAGTAGAGGCCAGTTGGATATATTCAAGGTGGAGTTAGACAGTTTTTTTTTGATTAACAAGGTGGGTCAAGGGTTATGGTGTTCAGCAGGAAAGTAGATTTAGGACCACAGTCCGAGTTGCTGCATCGTTTTGAATTACTATACAGTAACTTTACATTGACCATAAAAGTTTGACCAATATGTCTTTTAAGATGTAGTTTCTTTCTAAATGATTTGTGAATATTTTCAACACCAAGTATGGCTATATCAGGCTGTTTACTTGAAATCACTGCATAAATGTTTGGAGTATTAGTCATAGATGTTGAAGAAGTATTGGTGTATAATAATTCTGGGACAAGATACATAATTCACACATAACATACTAATACTTCACCATTTCAATGAAATGTGTTGAGTTACAGGATGTTGCAGTATAATAATTATCTATGATTGAATCACTACATATATATTGATAGTAGACCAGTAAAATTTTCAACATTGATTCGTTTATAATGTTCAAACAACATGTAATCATGGCATTTTCTAAGAGACAAAGAATGCCTTTCTTTTAAAAGGCTTATTATATACAAAATTGAAGCAAACTATTATATTTTCAAAGTTACATTGAATGTTTAGTGATATCATGTAAATAGCCTTGTCTTTTCAATACTAAATGAAATGGTCTGCTGTACATAGTCAGATGGTTGAGGATCTGTATTTATGTAAATTAAAACCCTAATCTAAGTCATACATTTGTGCTTTTGTTTTCTCTTTTATAGCAAGTTATTGACTGGAGCAGTTTGCTTGTAATCAATGGGTGTTACATTGTATCAATTTTGATTGCATGTTTTTATCATTTTTAAAAGCAGATTTTGACTTAAGTATTATTTTGTTGTTTATGAATGTGCATCTTATTCCTTATCTGTAACAAATGGGTTGTTTTGGCATATATCTGCTTTTGCTGACTTACAATAATGTAAATAATAAAGAACATTTTTTAATGGTGTTTTAGCTTCTTGAACACTTTATCATTTAATAAGTGTGTGTATTACTCAGTTAACGGGCCTGAGTGTAGATGGAAGTCATCAGCTACAGTGCTGCCCGTGCATCATCTGAGTGCCATTATTGAATAGGCACTTCATCTTCTGAACATGTCCTTCTGTTGCCTGGACCACTCAGGAGGTGCACTCCAGCTCTTGAATATTCTGGAGACTCAGCAAGGTATTTGTTCATTTTGGCTTGCACACCTAGCTGTACAACAGTGTGAACTTGCAAGAGGGAGAGATGGATGACTGATAATGATACTGAAGAAGCCAGGGCTGCACTGAGATGATGGAGACTGAACTGGGAGAATTGATTTGAGACTAGATTTGACGTTGAATGACTGCATTAACAAATTAAAACCTTATCATTCAAAGTGTTCAAAAGATATAATTCATGCAGTATCATTATTGGCTTAAGTACATCTTGCCACTAATTGCCCCTTTGGCATAGGTAAAGGGTTACGTGAGATGTGCTTTTATGAGTCAAATCTGTTTGCAAGGAGCAATTTATCCAGCTGTAGAAGGGCTAAACTACACTAATTGATTGTTGAAACCTTAAACATCCAGTTTAAGGTTCCTGCATTCTACAAGCTTTGTTACTGTGAGGACAGCAAAGAATGAGAGTCTCCGCAGTGTTCCATATGATGCGCATTTGAGTAGTCGGTGATCAGCATCCCTCAAGATGCTCTACAAGAGAAACCTAAATTGTCCAAAGCCTGAAGTTGAAAGAGACCACAGGACAATATTTGTGCCAACTTGTAATGAAGGATGACACATATGCCCCCAGAATGACTTCAGTGTTGTTTAATTTTTCCTACAACCACTTTCTAGTGCCACCTTGAGTTGCTGGTATAATTTTGACATCATTCCTCTGGTGGTCCAACACCTGGAGTGGCTCTGGCCCACTGAGGATCTCCTGCACAGATACAGGTGCAACTTCCTTGACATGACTTGATGGAGGCATTTGGATGCCTAGTAAAGAGGACATGGTCTAGCAGGGCAACCCTGTGGTGCCCTTCTGGCAATCTTTGGGTATCTAGGCACCTACAGATCACAGGAGGTGCAACAAAGGCATTTTTGTCACCCATCGGGTGATGGGGCACATGGAGGGACGTAGAAGTCATTTGTCCCCTCTCTCGTAGCCAGTGAATGAATGCAGCCGTGGATTGAGCAATAAAGTGAAGGTCCCCATGCGTTGCCAGCAGATTATGATGGTTCTGCTGGATCTGGCTTTCCACTGCGATCATCACCTATCCCATGGAGGCAGCCGTACACTTGCATTACAGAACATGTCATCAGAAACTGTTCTGGGCACAGTCTTCTGTTTTTCACTCCAGTCTGAGCACATCTTGCAGACTTCTGTTTCTCTGTTCAACTCCATGAGCTCGTTAATGGCCAAGTCCAGAGGTTCTTCATCTGTATTGGGTTCAGCAGGGCCTTGTCAGAGACTGCTGTCATTTCCTCCTTCTCTAGCCTGTACCAGACTGTGCTCACCACGGCACTGAGCTACTCTGGGTAGATTACCCGTTGAAATGAATGTAACTATGGTAATGGAGAGTC